ATTGATTCGAGAACTTGTAAACAGTTACTTATCCACTTCGTAAGTCTAAACCCACCTTTTCTGAGGAGTAAAGCAAGGGTTTTCGCTAGCTCAATTGCATACTGCACGTTGTCAATGGAGGCTAAATAGTCGTCGACATAGAAACTCTTATCTACGACGTCCTGGATATCTTCATTAAATTCCTTACCGAATATATCTACCGTCTTCTTAAGAGCGAAATTAGCGCAAAAAGGGGACGACACGGCTCCAAACGGATGAACTGTTAAACAATATTCCTTAGGCTTTCGTCTGATATCACCGTCTTCCCACCACAATAGACGAAACGCTCCCCTGTCTTGTCTCGGGATCTTTACTTGAAGAAACATCTCTTCAATATCAGCAGCTAATGCTACGTTACCTAATCTAAATCGTAGAAGTACACCGATCAAACTATTTACAGTATTTGGTCCTCTGAAAAGCTGGTCATTAAGAGAACAACCTTGATAGACAGCCGCACAATCAAAAACAATTCTCAATTTTCCAGGCTTTTTAGGGTTGATAACAGGATGATGAGGAATATACCAACAAACAGCATCATGGTCAAATTCTTCTTTACTAGCTTCAGTGATGTAGCCCTTACTTAAATGTTTATTCATCACAATTTGATATTTCTCCAAAAGACTGTTATCTTTCATAAACCTCTTTCTTAAGCATTCTAGTCTGCGTTCAGCTAGTTCCAAATTATTCGGTAGCCTTGGCTTATCATACTTCCATGGTAGACCAACTTGGAAATGACCACCCTCCAATTTAAACGAATTGCTAACTATTTCTAGAGCCTTTTTATCCTCGACAGAATATCCATTACGAATCGTATCTGTATCTTCGAACTCATGATTATATAATCTTTCTAAATCTCGCAAAATATCATTAGCGGAACAATGACACCATTGAACTTGATGTAGAGACCTTGATACTCCCTTAGGACCTATAATCATCCAACCGAGATGAGTACGCACAGCAAACGGATGCTTCCTGTCCCCCAGACGTTGTTCCAATACCCAATGTGCATCCGGAGCATCACACCCAATCAATATTCCTACAAAATTACTTCGCAACCTCGGGAGGATTATGTCCTTCAGGTGTTTCCATCGCTTCAGTTGGAGTTCGTTTAAAGGTGCTGCATGATCGATCGGAAGTTTCTTGGTCGTGTAAACTTTGTTGATCTTTATAGAACCCCGTTCATCTAATGAAAATACCTCTAAATTTACCTCCAAACATTCACAATTGGTAGTCCCGTTCACAGTCGCCACCTTTATCGAAGTCTCTTTACCTTTAATACCCAACTGATTAATTAATTCTTCACATACAAGAGAAGTGTCCGAACCACTATCTAGAAGTGCATATGTTTCCAAACATCCTTTGGCACCGTACAGTCTGACTGGAACAATACCCAAACAAACCCTTGAGGAGTTCCAATCCTTAGCTAAATTCACCATATGGCCATCAATACTATCAATATGCAATATCGAATTATGCCTAACCTTGCAATTCTCAACGTGGCACTTGAAGCCTGAGTTGCATGACATAGCTATGTGACCTTTCCTCAAACATAAGTAACATAGACCACGTTTTCTTACCTCCTGCCTCCTTTCCCTTACATTCATTTTTGATAACCTTGGACAATCTGTCGCCTCATGATCACCTACGCAGATTTCACAACGTGGTACTTTGACTTATGTATTTGGGTCTCGTCTAATTGCATGAAAGCGTGATCTCCTAACCACTTGGCCTTCAAAATTCCTTCTACCGAACCTTGAGTTGCACTGTACTAATCTACCATAACGGGTTCGGGCAATTCTGGCCCTCTCTTCTACGAAGACCACAAATTCTTCAAAGCTCGGCTCCTTCCCATGCATCATAATCTTATCGGCGACTTCCACCCACTTATTCTGCAATTCTAGTGGTAGGCATGAAACTATTATCTCCAAATTAGCCGTAGAATTGACGTCAGACATGTATCTCATTTCCTTCAACGTTATACATACATTACGCAACTTAATCGCAAAGTCAGTTAATACGTCAGCTGATCCTCCGACAGATTTATGGTTTAATAACTCAGTGATTAGTTCTCGTGCAACAAGATGCTCTTTACCAAATAAATCATATAAAATTCGTTTAGCCCTATCATTGCCTAAACGACTGAGCAAAGAAAGGCAAGATTCAATTGCTGTTCTAGCCTTTTCTTTGCAATAATATAATAAATACGACAGCAATTGGCTCTTATCTGACAGTTTACTCTGTATAAGGCTATTAAACTGACTGATGAAACGGTAATACTGACCCGGTTGCCCATCAAAATACATCATATCGATCTTAGGTAAAACCATGTTACTAACCATTGTATGTAACGTGTCCTTCAGTTTCCCAACCCAATCGACCTTTGAGATGTTACATACGTTCCCTGAGTGATTGTTACACCCAGTATCGCAATCCAAATAATTTTCCACTTTAGCATTTATCCCACATTTATCTACAGGTAATCGTTCTTCGTCCTCGACGGCCTTGCATTCTAGTTCGGCGATATCAACCTCTTCTTGAAGATCTAACATCTTAAGTTGCCGTTCCAATTCAAGTCTCTTTTCTAAATTCCTTTTCCTCAGTAATGCCTTATCTAACTTTAATCTAGAAGCACCTAATTGGCTAGAGGACATACTATTAATACTAACATCATCACATTTATCATCATTAACATCAGACATACCGCAAACAGCTTTAGAAATTTTACTATCCATTTCGTCATTTTCCTTCAGCCTTTTGCTCCGCGTTTCCATCGTATTGATTGTTCCAAGGAAATCGATTACCAAAACAATTACGAGTTAATCCACACGAAACCGACCAATAAGATCAGGAAATTGAATCCAAATATCCAGAAAATCCAAGGTATAAACACAGAACCAATAATTGAAGAACTTTATGTTACGTCCAAGTTTTGCTCGTTCTAGTTATTGAAGTACGGACTATCGATCTACTTGCAAATTACGAACCCAAATTAATAACCCAACCAAACTCCAATTTGGATACCAAATTTATTCGTAATTCACAAATAATCAACCAAATGTCGTTCTAACAACAATAATTATAATAATTACAAAACAAACCTTCAATTTTGTAGGTTCCCGGAGCAAAACTCTCAAATACCAAACCAAAGATAGAGAGAGCACCAAAATACCAAACCAAGGACAAACCAAAATGTCCGAAATAATGATATAAACAAACAAGTTCAAAGTTAAGTAAAACAATTACATCCAAAAACACAGTAAATTATTAATGTACAATAAAAAGGTTTTAATTTGCCAAACGTCTTCAGTTCTCCCGTAACATACATGCCGACAGATATAAGCCTAAAACATTGCTTTTTTGACCTCTTATTAGTTCGTGCAAAGATCAAAACGTTACGGCTTATCCTAATACAATGGAAAAGTAATAGTTCAGAAATTATCAAGCTTCGGAATAGTAGGTGCTGTACACGAGCGGTTAGGAAACTTATGTGACCGCAGAGAGAGAGTGAGGTTCAACGGAACGCTATCCGATTGGAGGCCGGTCAAAAGTGGTGTACTCCAAAGTACTATCTAAGGCCCTCTGCTCTTCCTTCTGTACGTTAATGAGTTACCGCTGTCGCTCAGGTTGTATACATTTTTTTGCAGATGACCTTACAAATTTGGAGAGTAATAAAAAATGAGGCTGATCATTTGATCTCGAAGCTGACTTAGACGATTTATTTAGATGGGCTCAATGTTGGTGCTTAGAAACCATTTCTATGAGGAGTGTGCTAATGCACATCGGTAACGGTAATAGATATCATTATACTATTGATGGAAAACCTCTTCCATACGTTCAAGAACACAAATACTTAGGAGTAATAATAGGTCATGACTTAAAAACGACTACGCATTGCAACGCAGCTGTTGTCAAAGGTTATGTTAACTTCGCCGAGCACTCAAATGATTTGACGAGGAGATGTTTCGAATTTTATATTCCACCTATGTAAAATCACATTTAGAGTACTTTATCCATTCAGCTGGCCCATGTCTGATAAAGGATAATAACTCACTTGAGTGTGTCCAGCGTGTGGGAACAAAATTAGTGAAGGGTCCGCAGTGACCTACGTTTATCAAGAAAACGCGATCGGTGTAATGGAAACACTTATTATTGAAACCAATTGTACCAGGGATTGTTTTAATGTATGTGTTTGTTTAACTGTACCGAAACACATACTTTCTTCCGTTGATTGTGACCTTGCGCGAATTCGGTTACGCTCAGTAGCCACACTTGTTGCGTTGCATGATCTCGGTGTTCTTTCTATACGAGATTGTCAAAAAATAAAAGCAGCAACCGCCTTCTGATATTTGGCTTACGGAAGATCTTATCGGCTAACTGGGACGTAGTTTTCCTGTAGTGGTGATCATATATATATATATATATATATATATATATATATATATTTATATTATAGTATACCGCGACTCAACGCCACGATATAGGTCTTCCTAAAACCCTTTAGGATGAGCGTTCAAAACGCCTAGACCTTCTTTTGTGGTATCGTAGGACGCAAGGTGACCTTATAATGGCATTTCGTATCTTTAATTATAATTTGGGTGTATGTTTGTGTTAACTTTTTACCCGCTCCAGCACCAATAATCTCCTAGGTCATGGCAAGAAGCTTAACGAAATGCCATCTAATAAGCCCTAAGTGGGGTCCTCTTTTTTATCGAGTAGTCAATGATTGGAATGCCTTACGCGAAAAAATGGTACTAGCCCCATCAGTGGATAGGTAGGTTAGGGTGATAACATGCGATCGGTTTACATCGGATTTTAGAGAAGAGGTGTTTGTTGAGAGGCTACAATCCTAACCCTGACCCTAACCGCAGCACTTACCCTAACCTCTAAAATCCGTTGTAAACCGATCGCTTGTTTGCACCCTAACTTACCCATAACCCTAACCTAACCCTATGGACGGGTTTCTATACCGTATGCATTATGAATTCAGGACCTCTGAACCTTTATCAAACCTTAACAAGTTTTCAAATCATGTAAAAGAATGTCCACTGTAATTCATTACTTACTCATAATATGTTTTCACTTTATACTAACTGTCTTCTGATTGGCTAATAATTTTCAAGATCATTTAAGATTCGTTCAAAGGTCGTCCCTAAATTAGAGTCTCGTCAATATTTCCAAGGAGAAGCTGGACCTTCACTGGAAGGCGATCTGTCAGGATTAACACAGGTTAACCAACCTAAGATCTTTAAAACTGAAGACTGAATGACCTTATAGTTTTAACTCAGCAATATGTTTGGTGTTTTGTTTTCACTTTTAGTTTTTTAATACCGGATAGTACGGAGTCACAATATATTTTTCACACTATATGGCATCTGGATCTTATGGATTTGGAAGTACTGAAATTATTGTAAATGCAGATGATGGGTTTTACTCGGATATTAGGGACCAAGGTATTGTTTCTTGTCTTTCAACAGTAGATCGTGGGGTATCGGATGTTTCAGTTCTAATGAATGGTGCAGTTGCAAAAAGTTTGCTTTCCTGTCCAGACCATAAAAGACCACAGATGTCCTCACTGTTCTCACATATCTCACGGAATAGACACATCCCAGGTAATATTTTTCAATACGCACTTTATTGAAAACATCAGTGTTTCTGCTAATTTGTTCACTTTATATCTACACATTATTCACTGTGTTTATCATCGACTTTTGTTGAGACTTGAGTCACTGACTTCTTGTATCCCATTTATTGTGTGGGACAGTCGTCAGTGCTTGCCCAAATTTCTATTCATTTATCTTGTTTTCACAAAATATAATTACTTCTTTCTTTATCTGCAGTAGCTTTTCTGATTTTGGATGTTGGCTCACTAAGAACGTTGCTCTTCAATAAACAAGCAAATGCGCTCTCTAGAGGTATATGAATGGTCTAAGAAGTCTTACTTTCTTACCGGTCACAGTCAGTCAGTAACAACGTAGAACTTCGTACGTACGTACATCAGTTCGAGTTGCCACACCACATTAGCACAGAGATGCCGTGGTCGATTCAAATCCCGTAGTGGTAGAGGTAATAAGAGTATAAGCAGTAATCGGGAAGATTAGTGTTCAAAGATGTTACTTAAAGAGTATAATACAGTGAAATAAACTTGGGAAGAAAAAAAAAGAGACAAGGGGGAATCAGGAGATCAAAATTTGGGAGAACACAAAGAGTGAATGCACCTGCGCCATTGCAAACGATTTTGAGCCATGTCATTCAGGGTCTCTAACCATCGGTTGCTATCATCTCGCGGTCCCCAACCAGGTAGTCTACACCTAGCGACATGACTCAGTCCACTTGTCAGTGACTTCATGGACTTGTGCCATGTTTTGGTCTGGCCGCCCCTAGCCTTCTTCCAACCTACTCCTACACCACTGAACATCGCACGTCGAGGCATTCGGTCGTTGGGCATACGTAACACGTGTCCCAGCCATCTCAACTGATGAAGTTTCACCACTTCATCAATTGATTTGCCATCCTTACCTAGTACCCGTTTCCTAACAACTGTGTTACTTACTTGATGGTCCCATGATATACGAGCAATGTTTCGAAGACACTTATGATCGAATACTAGTAACCTACGAATAACCTCTACTCTTACCGGTCATTTTTCACTGCCATAAAGTAGGACGGGACGAACTGCTGCGCAGTAAACACGTCCTTGGGTTGATAGACGGATATCTCACCTACGCCATAAATGACGCAAGTTGGCAAAAGCTAGTCGAGCCTTCTGTATCCGTGCTGAGATTTCGTCACACACCAGACCACAAGGGCTGATGGGACTTCCAAGATAAGTGAAGCGGTCGACACACTCAACTACTTCACTCCCTATCACTAGTTCGGGTGTCGATGCAACCCAATCCTGAAGCAACATTTTGCTTTTCGAGGGAGAGAATCGCATCCCGAACATGCTTGCATTGTTGCTTAGAGTGGTCAGAAGACTCTGCATTTTGTCAGCGTCTTCACCAAATAAAACTATATCATCAGCATATTCTAAGTCAACAAGTGAACCTCCCGGTAGAAGTTCAACCCCTGGAAATTTAGATGAGGAGAGTGTCATCTCTAAAAGTACGTCGACCACAAAGTTGAACAAGAATGGGGAGAGTGGACAGCCCAGATGAACACCACTTGAGGTAATCAATTCTGATGACAGTTCGCCATAAGCTCTCACTCTACCAGTTGTGTTCAAGTAGAGAGCCTGAATAAGGTTAATGTACTTCTTTGGTACTCCTGTCAGTGACAAACACTGCCATAGAACCTCACGGTCAACAGAGTCGAATGCCGCCTTAAGATCGAGAAATACTACCATTGTGGGGCGTCTGAATGTGTGTCTGTGTTCTAGAACCTGACGTAGTGTGAATATCTGATCTATACAACCACGTCCAGGTCGAAAATCGGCCTAGTTTTCTCTAATCTGCTCTTCACGAGCTTTGATTAGGCGTCGAAGTATTATTGAGGCTAATATTTTAGACACTATATTTGTCAAACTGATTCCTCTGTGATTGTCACAAGAGGACTTTTGTCCTTTCTTATAAACTGGCACAATCAGTGATTGAGACCAGTCAGATGGGATTACGTCCAGTTCCCAAATTCTACCTAAGACCTCGGTTAATTTCATTGCTAATACTGGACCACCATTCTTAGAAATCTCAGGAGTAAACCTGTCAGGGCCTGCTGTTCTCCCTCGTTTCAGATTTCCTATGGCTTTTTCAACTTCGAAAAGGGACGGAGGACTTACATTAACTTGCCATTCAGGTTGACTGGGGATCGTGGGAAACCGAAGTGTGGCTGAAGGCCATTTGAACTGATCCCTGAAGTGTTCTGCCCATCGATCTAATCTCCTGGATTGGGAATGAATAATATGTCCATCTTTCTCTGAGATTGTTTCGCTAACAGTCGGGTTCCTAATTCCGGTTTCCTTAACGAGTCTGAACAATTGTCTGCTTCTACCTATTGCCGTTGCCTTTTCCATCTCTCTTGCTTTCGCTACCCACCACTGTTCGCGATCATTGCGTAGACTTCTTGTCAGCTTGCGCTTAAGCTGACTCCGCTCTTCACTATGTTCAGAGCCAGGTGGAATGAGTTTCCGAGCATCTATCAGTGCGATAGATGCTGCTGAGATCCAGCGTAATAAATGCAGATGATTAGTTTTATGATGTGTAGTTACAAAAGGTTCATGTTATCTTTTATTGACACTTGGTAAGAAAATCACAAACGTAATGAAATTTCAGTTTATCAACATTTATGTGATTCGGAAATGTAGATACACTCGCAAGTTTTAGTTTTGAGAATACGGCACATGTCTTCTAAATTTATTGACATGATCAGTTATTTTATAGTTTCGGTGTGAATTTCCTCTAAATATGTATTAAACTACATTGAGTAGGGTGTTAAGTTCAATATATTTTTTTGTACGATGGTCTATTCAGTCAGTTGAAATGTGGCTGATTTCTATTCGTTGGTAACCCGATTCTTAATGCTTTCAATTCATTCACCATTCAGTTCATATCTTTTATAGATGCGCTTAGTGAAATATAGGCTATTAGCCGGCTGCTTCACTTTTTGTCAGAGGAGATAAGTTTCTTTCATCCAAGACTACATAGAGCTAACCTTGATCTTCAGGTTATCTTTCTTGTTTGATTAGTTGGTCACAGTTCCATAGCGACACCTCACCATACTTTCAACATCCATACATTTTAGTCCAGTATAAATGTTTATTTTTGAATGTACATGTCATAAAATTTATTAACTGCACGTCCCTAAATGTATTTCGTACATATATTGCGAAAGAACACATGTGTCTCCAAAATGAGTTCTTCCAAGAGTTTATATTTCAACTAACAATCACTTCTTATAAATTTAAGACAATTTAGTCTTGAATTTGTGACAAAATCGGTGAAAATGTTGCATGAAATTCGTAAATATCTGCCGGTAAAAGTCAAGCTCAATGCGAACAGAACGCTAATTTGTCTGAATATGCACGAGAAAAACATGTCAAATGATGAAGATAATCAGTAAAATTGTGGAGATAGTGAACGGTTTAAGTTTCAAGATCGATGAAGGAGTGATGTGAATGTGCTTTTCAATGCAGGTCCCATATCTAATCAAGTGTTTAAGACAACATTTATCATTATCTGGTCTAGATTGATGTTCTTTTAGGTCTACATTTTAATTTGACTGAAGGAAAACCTTTATCCAAGACGAAGTTTGTACGAAGCTTACTGAATGATCATGGTTATTTCCTTGGTAAGCATGGATTTCGAAGGAAGTTGGTGTTCTCTGGCATTCACATGAATGAAGTGAGTTTCATGAGCTTTCTTTGCAAAACGATTGTTTTTGATTGATAAACTACCGTTCTGTTTTTGTTGTTTCAATCAAAATTTCAGTATTCTAAATACCTATTCAAAGGCTGATATTTGGTGTATTTTTTACAATGGGACATTCGATTTTCGTATTTTCGAATTTTAAAGATAATGTGTTCAGTTGCAGTCATCGAGTTCTATATGACTTAAATTAAACTATTCTGGGTATTCTTACTTAGAATATCAATTCAATCAATGCCAGTTATGATAGTATGTCTACGCTTTGAGGATTAAAATGAATGAGGTCAATGGATTGACCAGGAATTTAGTTTTAATTTGGGGCACTTTAGTAATAAGTCTGACATATTTGTCAGTAAATGATGTTCAGCTTTAGAGTTGTGGAATTAAAATCTGCTTGTGGTTGTTTTTTTCTATAAATTCGTTCGTTTTTCCACACAACTTGACATATGTATTAATTTTAGAAATTCTGTCCCTTGCTATCTGCCTAGTTGAGATGTTCTGGGAAAGCTGTTGCTAAATAATAATAAATCTTATGTACAATGTATTGTACTTTAGGTTGAAGTTGAACTGGAATCACAAATAAATGCATTTCGAGATGTTTTTGGAACTATTCCCAGTCATTTCGATGGTCATCAACATGTTCATGTTTTGCCAGGTGTGTATTTCGATTTAACTTTGAAGTATACATGAATCTCATACAGTTTGTGAGATTAATTTATAATATTTATATTTTTGAGAAATCGAAGAAGCAAACAGTTATTAACCTTCAGAGGAAAGTTATGAGTAGGTTGAGTGAAATTTTTAAGGATGTTGCTTCTAACTACGTTATTATTCTCATTCCTTTATGTTCACACATTAATAAACAGTTTGAATGTACAAGTAGTTAATTGACCATGTTCAAATCATTTTTGACATCAATTTACCTACACATCCTGAAAGGACTGTAGACTCGTACTCTTTATAATGTCGAGGCTGATTTGTGCATCAGGAAAGTATTTTTGATTGTCATCTTTAACTGACCGTAAATTCTCGTCACGTCAACCTCTTGGAAATCATCCTCGGAACGTTTCCAGTTTCAGGTGTTTGTTTACTCAGTTTCCTTTCTTCAGTTTGTAGATGATACATGTTTATTTCAATGTTCTTTGTTGTTGTATTGTATGTTGGAATTCTAGTTATGTGAATTTTGTAGACGACATATTGATAATTTATAATCAAATCAGTGGTAACTTTGCTTGCATTTAGATGATCAGTTTCAGTCTGAAGACCTTCATAATCGGACAAATAGGTTAAGTTCATGAGTACAAAATACTTGAATCTGACTTTTAGTCAAGAAATAAACTTCCATGTGAAGTTTTACTACATTTCCGTGTCTAACACTACACTAAATGTTTTGTACGTTAATCTATGGAGCTACTTGTTGTGTTGTAAGTAGTATGTGTCTATTAACAATATTTGGACAAGAATTTCTGATATGTCTGAAATCCTACATCGTTTTAAACAATAAAAATAGTCTACAATCACTCAACTTTGGCTATTTTACAAAATAAGAGGTACTACTAGTGTGTTGTGAAAACGATCTTCTATTTTAGATTCTGAAAAACACCAGCGATTGTTCTTGCATGCTGTGTTAGTCTTACTGTTTCTTGCTGTGTATGATTTGTCAAAAAAATCCAAGTGTACTACTTATGCCTTGTGTTTTTCTTTGTTAAATGTAAGCATTTAAGAAGTGGTTGGAATCAAAGCGATTATAAGTTTAGAGTTTGATACCCCGAATCGTTGAACTTAAAGAAGAGACAAGGAATAAAGTAGGATTACGAATACCATATTCAAATTAATATTGCTTGGAGATTATAGCATATGTCATTCACATCAATAAAAATATGACATTCAGATAGTAAATATTTTGTAACTCACTGTTCAGGTTATTCATCTGATTTGTTTTCGTTTAAAAAGGGATTGACATGGTCGTAGCTAGAGTTATCTCTCGACTTGGAATTAAATGGATTCGTGTTCCCATTGAATATATTCCAGAAACATCCTGTTGTATTACTGAATGTAAGTTGAAATGTATATTTGTTATTTTGATGTAAGCTGTGTATTATGTCATTTGTGTTATCTTCTCAATTATTTGTTTATTTGTTTGAAGGTGTGTGTTGAAAAGTCAATAACGCGTACTATGTTGATGGAGAAAGAGAGTAACAGTCGATTAATATACTGTAAGGAGGCTTTCTATTTTCATTGTCGCTTAGATTGAAATCAAGAGACTGTTATTGTTCATGTTTTTCTAATATCTTTTTCGCTTGTTTACGTAATTACTCGTGAGTTTATTCAGGTATTTTAAGTATGTTATTGGCTAACCGACTGTGTTACTTATCCGAAACACGCATACAGGATTCCAGTGTGGTCATTCACTTGACCTCACCTCGGCAAAACGGAGAGCCAACGAGATACACCCTACGTGTATCTGGTGACCCGATGGCCAGTTCTCGTGGACTGGCAGGTGTAGGCATAGCACTAAGCATGAGGGCGGAACAAGCACTGCTAGAGTGGATCCCCGTCAACAGTCGTCTATGTGCTGTTCGGCTAAACGGCTCCGTAAGAACTCGGAAGGATAGGGACACACGTCGTTGCCTTTTTGTCGTTTCTGCCTACGCTCCCACCGACTGCAGCTCAGATGATGTGAAAGATGGATTTTACAGAAAGCTTTCTGAACTTCTTCAGAAAGCTAAACGCTCAGACATAGTACTCGTAGGGGTTGACTTTAATGCTCAGATAGGTAGCTTAAACCAAACAGAAAGGCATTTAGGTAGATATTTTAGCATTCCGGCACAGCGAACAGATAATGGTGACCGTCTGCTGCAACTGTGCTCAGACAATCGCTTATTTTTAGCAAACACAAATTTTAAGCATAAGGAGAGACATCGTCTAACATGGCGACCCCCTACACCAAACCAACGATGGACTCAAATAGACCATATTGCCATCAGTCATTGTTGGAGAGGGTCGGTAGAAGATTGTCGCTCATTCTGGAGTACCTGCTTGGACTCCGACCACGCCCTAATACGGGCACGCATCTGCTTGCGCCTCACCGGACGCAAAAAAGCCACATTGAAAAGACCCATTAGAACTGAGTTGAGTAACGAGAAAACCAAAAATAGGTTCCAAGAACAACTGAGTTCACACTTAGGTAGTTCTGAAGACGAGGCTGACTCAAATGTTGCTTTGAAAGACATACAAGCAGCTGTGGAAGCAGCAGTGACATCTATTAGCGACTTAAACCACAGAGTTTCAAAGAACCAGTGGATTTCTTCAAAGTCTATCACACTGATGGATTCTCGCAAATTCGTCCCATCAGGTTCCGAACATGATGAAGAGCGACAACCAATCAGATCTAGGTTAAGAAAACGTTTAAGAAACGACCGTGAGCAGTGGTGGGCAACGAAAGCAAAAGAGATGGAAAAGGCGGCGACTATAGGGAATACAAGACAACTTTACAGACTAATAAAAGAAACTGGAATTAATAAGTCAAGTGTAAGTGAGATTATATTGGAAAAAGACGATACTCTCATCTATTCCCAGTCCAGACGTTTAGGACGATGGGCGGAACACTTTAGGGAACAGTTCAGCTGGCCTTCAGCTACTCTACAACTACCCTCCATTCCCAGACAGCGTGAATGGAACATTGAAGTAGGTCCCCCAACTCTTGCTGAAGTTCAAAAGGCTATAGATAATCTGAAACGAGGAAGGGCTGCTGGTCCAGATGGACTGGCTTCAGAAGTCTTTAAGGATGGTGGTCCAATTTTAGCGATTAGGTTGACTAATATTTTAGCTAAGATCTGGGAGTTAGACGTTATTCCATCTGACTGGTCACAATCACTTATCGTCCCAATATATAAGAAAGGGTCAAAATCATCCTGTGACAACCACAGAGGGATTAGTTTAACTAATATAATATCTAAAATACTGGCCTCGATAATTATCAGACGCCTAACTAAGACTCGTGAACTGCAAACACGAGAAAACCAAGCTGGCTTCAGACCTGGTCGTGGCTGCATCGACCACATATTCACCATTCGTCAGGTTCTAGAACACAGGCATACTTATCGGCGTCCGACGATGGTGGTCTTTCTTGACTTAAAAGTAGCATTTGACTCGGTAGACCGCGAGGTTCTGTGGCAGTGTCTGTCATTGAAAGGCGTACCTCAGAAGTACATAAACCTTGTGAAGGCTCTTTACTCGAACACTACTAGTCGAGTGAGAGCTTATGGCGAACTGTCATCTAGTTTTGCAACCTCAAGTGGTGTCCGTCAAGGATGTCCACTTTCTCCATTTTTGTTTAACTTCATCATAGATCTACTGATGGAAATAACTTTCTCGTCGACTGAGTTCTCGGGTATTGATCTCCATCCAGGAGGTCCACTTATCGAATTAGAATACGCAGATGACATAGTCCTGTTTGGTGAAGACGCTGACAAAATGCAGAGTCTCCTGGTAGCACTGAGCAACAATGCCAGGATGTTTGGAATGCGCTTCTCTCCCTCTAAATGCAAGTTGTTGCTTCAGGACTGGTCTGCGTTAACACCTGAACTAAGGATAGGGAGTGAAGTAGTCGAACGCGTTGACAACTTCACTTATCTTGGAAGTCTGATCAGCCCTAATGGGTTGGTATCGGACGAAATCTCAGCACGGATTCGAAAAGCTCGTTTGGCTTTTGCCAACTTACGTCACCTGTGGCGAAGGCGAGATATCCGTCTATCAATAAAAGGACGAGTATACTGCGCGGCAGTCCGTTCTGTTTTAATTTACGGCAGCGAAACATGGCCATTAAGAGTAGAAGACACTCGTAAGCTATTAGTATTTGACCACAGATGCCTAAGAAATATTGCTGGCGTCTGCTGGGATAACCGGGTAAGTAATAGTGAGGTTAGACGCAGGGTATTAGGAAAGGATGGTAAATCAGTTGATGAAGTTATGAATCTTCATCGACTGAGATGGTTGGGCCACGTGTTACGTATGCCTGAACACCGATTACCACGACGTGCAATGCTATCCGGTATTGGAAATGGTTGGAAGAAAGTTAGGGGCGGCCAAACCAAAACGTGGCATCAGTGCTTGAAGTCACTAACTTCTAGTCTGAGCCATGTTGGTAGATGCAGACTACTTGGTTGGGGTCCGCGTGACTATCGTAACCAATGGTTAGAGACTCTGGGTGATATGGCTTAGAATCGATCACAATGGCGTCGGTGTATACACTCTCTGTCTTCCCTTAAACTATGAAATTAAAATCGCTTCATATCTTTCTTTCTACGAACCAATTCTTTCTTCTTGTACTATATCTCTATATGCAATCTTTCTCTTATATATTACCACCTTTTACCTAACCACTGTTATGAATCCGGTGTTCATCTTGTTGTGTTGATGCGGTATGGCAACCTGGACCGATGCACACATGTGCCTGGTCCTACGTTGTAGCTGACTGACTGACTGACCTTCAATCTACGAAGAGTTATCAGAAAATGATCAGTTATTCAGGCTTTGAGTCTCATTATGAAAACAATGTTCATAGTGAAAGTCGTCGGAATTATATACGTGATAAATTTATTTGAGACTAATGTTGATATCTCAGTGTGATTGCATTCATTTGATGATATTTGTCATAGTTAGACAGTTCGGGTTTCCTGAATTTTGTGTTTTCACTCTTATTTTGAAATAATAATAAGAGTTATTGAACAGAAGATTCTGTCAACTTTTTTCACGCTGGTAGTAACATGACGTCAATCGTAAATGTGAAATAAAATCTCGTTTAACAAAATAATTTATAGCCTGAGCGTACCACGAACTTGAAGGATTTTTAGTAAACGAACATTCTTCATATGGGAAGATACATTGCCGCTGGCAATTATTATGTCCTGTTATTTCATGCTATTGAAAATCTTTACTCACATTAGATTGTAAATGTATCCTCTTTAAATTTCCAACAATGTACTCTTTGTTCAGTGTCATATATTTTTCACTGTATACGTGAATCAGTAGTTTCAGTTTGGAATTACCATTTGACATTATTAAATCTTTTACCTACATATATGGGTAAATTCCGTGGTTTTTATATTTGCCTTGCTGTGTCGTTCATCACTTAGTGTTATAGTTTGTTACTTAAATGTATAAATGCATGTATATCTAGAAGGGTGATAATGGATTATAAAACTAATATGTGATAATAGAGAGTATGTAACCTTACTTTCTTGTTAACTATCCGTTTGACTTAACTAAATAGTTTATTATTGACCTTCAATTTATCTCGTCCTTATGTAAATAATTTTGTAGTTAAATTGCTTTGTAATTATTTCATATATGTTAAATATTCTATTATAATTATGAATGTTTAGTACTACTGTATTTCGAATGCAATTTATTCCATTCTATATAGACAGTCCTTTTAAATCATATGAGAGGTTTCAGTTCAATTACTAAGGATAGAATTATTATTATTATTATTACTATGAAGGAAAATATAAATTGTTCGCAATCTTTTCATACAACCATGTGATAAAAAAGCATAAATGATATAGAATGGGGAAACAAACCTATTTAGCTTGAAGGCATTGTTTCTAAAGTTGTAAAATCTTAAATTGCAAATTATAAAGATTATTAGCATTTATTCCATCCCTTGTTATTAGTTTCATAAAAACACTATATAGCGAAAAAAGTATGTAAAAAATGAAGGGAGTAAAATGACAGAAGAGGATCTTAAAAAATGTGTTTAAAAGGTGTTCAACTTACAACTATTCCAGATTAATATAATGCAAGTAGCAATCTCATACACAGAGTTAATTTTATATTTGATCGGTAACAAGACTATTGTTAAAAATATTCAAATTTTTGGATTACTTTCCACAGCTTTTGTAATTGGTTCTAAATATTGAGTTGAATTGGAGGAGACGAGATATATTCAAAGATAAACGGGCGAACAGTTATAAGTTTTTACTAAACTAAAGAGTGCTTTAGGATATATTCGTTTAAACGCATAAATAAATTTCGTACATCCTGATCCCCTG